GCAAGAGCATGTTTAGCAGGAGAAGATCACTTGTTATGGAAATCAAAATTTGCTGAGCGGTGTGAAGCAACAGCTAAAATCACCCGAGCTAGGGAAAGAGCAGCTTCTCAGTTTCTCCAGTAAGAAAGCTAATGGTTAATCCTGCTATAAAGCTTCTGTGGTTGGATTCAACAGATAGCAAGGTGTTTTGTCTGTTTGTTTTGAATGTATAAGTTTACCATGTTCAATATGTCTTGGTTATAGATTATTGGTCATTGGGTATGTTTAAAATCTGCAAAAAATAAAAAAGGGGGAGTTATATCCCCAAATAACACAGAATTATCTTAAGCATGCTGTCTGTATGTTAAATTTTTTTAATGTGGATATGCAAGGCCGTTCTTTAGCTGATCAGTTGTGGTACCTTAATACCAAAGATAATTATGCTGAAGTGAAATGGAAAGATCCAATTACTGGAATATGGCAGGGCCCCAACCCTGTATTAATATGGGGAAGAGGTCATGTTTGTGTTTTTCCGAAGGATGCAGAAGGAGCCAGGTGGATCCCAGAAAGGTTGGTGCAATTTGCATTTGCTAGAGATGTACCCCGGAAGGAGGATGTTCCTGCTGCTGAAGTTCTGCTCCCAGAAGAAGATGTTGTTCAGAAAAACTTTTTAGATACAATGTGACTGGACTTGATTGGTCTGGTAATCAGGACAATTCTCAACAAAATCGGGAATAATGAAAGAGGACTGACTATGGGACTTTGGTGGTCTGATTCTGGTTTTCAGACCTATACTTGGAAGCTTGCCACAGAAACTCTCGGGAGGCTCTGTAACTGCCTGTGTAAATTCTCCTTATGCTTTGTTATTTGGAGATGTTAACATTTTAATACAAGATTCAAACTTTAGTGTTTCTTGCTGTCAGTGTAAACTAACAAACTGTATTTTGAAGCTTTCAAATGGACAATAGGTTCTGGGATTGTTAGACAGCTTTTTATTATGGTTCCTGTGAATGTTTCTCAGGCTTGGTAGTCTGATAAAGGGTCATCTTTTAAGTCACTTTTATGGAGTATTTTAGGACTTGACTTGTTACTTTTATTAGGAATATGACTCCTACCAATAATAATTAAAACCTCCATCAAGGCCTTTTAGGATATTAAAGCTGATTTGCACAAGATTAAACCCCAGTGTCTACGCTAGCTGCGGTTGGTAGTAAAAAACGGTTAAGATCTCTCTGAAGAATATTCAACCTAAGGCAGGGCGTGAATGATGGAATTCATGTATGAATGATGGGTAAGAATATATCTTTCAGGAGAGACAACCTAAGACAGGCACAGTCTTCTGCTCCGTTGCTATTAAGTTATGGTCAGTTTTAAAAATATAAAAAAGGGAGACCTGTGGAGAGCTGCTTGTTTTTACTTTGGCCTTCACCTGGAGACAGGGATAGGCAGGATGTTTTGCCAAGTTAATTTCCTTCTGTTTGTGTATGAGGATCACACAGACTAGTGGTCAAGGTAAAAATGTTTGACATCACAATGAAACCCTTCATCGTACTGAGGTGCTTTGCTCTGACTATAAAAAGGAATTGTGGAATAAACCTGTGTGACAGTTTCTACCGGCAGCCCTCTCAAACAGATCCCATGTGTAGTATGTTGGTTTTTTATTTTCTTTCAACCCTCACTCCCCACTTAAGTGTTTGACTCTGCCAGTGAGCTCCAGCAATGCTGTTGGAGTTTTCTGTATTATTTGCTGGACACAAAGAAGCTGCTGATGCAGTGTTCGATCTCTGAGGGTGCCCCTTTCTTGGTGGTCTGCCTAGACTCCCCCAGTGAGGGGCTGGGGTGTGGCTCAGTGGCAG